TTTTTCACAAGTAAAACAGTGGCATTATAGGGACTAGTGCAGGGGATAATGAGGCTCCAAGCCTCGTAATCTTCTATTATAGCCTTGATGCCTTGGAGGGCTTCTTTGTACAGTATTGATTCATTCTGAGAAGAGATTTTGGGGGATCTATTTGAATCCTGATGGGAGGTGCACTGTGGATTCTGTCAGTATCACCTGAAGATGTTGCTCATCAAGAGGATGAGAGCTGGGCACCTGGGCGGCTCAGGGTGTGATCCGGATCCCTGCAGGGAGCCTGCTTCTCCCTCTGCCTGTGTCTCTGCCTCTCTCTGTGTGTGTGTATCAAATAAATAAATAGATAGATAGATAGATAGATAGATAGATAGATAGATAGATAGATAGATAAATCTAAAAGAGAGAGAGGGATCCCTGGGTGGCATAGCGGTTTGGCGCCTGCCTTTGGCCCAGGGCACGATCCTGGAGACCCGGGATCGAATCCCACGTCAGGCTCCCGGTGCATGGAGCCTGCTTCTCCCTCTGCCTGTGTCTCTGCCTCTCTCTCTCTCTGTGACTATCATAAAAAAAAAAAAAATAAAAAAAAAATAAAAGAGAGAGAGAGAGAGAATGGTAGCTGATCCAAGATGGCCCCCCAGACTTTGCTAAAACGAGATCTTAAAACAGATCTTAAAGCCTGGAGAGCTCAAACAGAAAGAGAACAGAGCTCAAAATCCAGCAGAAAACTTATGCTCGAACTCCAGGGTCCTAGAGAAAAAGCAGTGAGCCGGATTGGCTCCACGGCTATGAGCATCTGTTTGCTCTCCAGCCTCAAACTGGTTGAAGACATTCTCTGGAGCCCACCCATGATCACTTATATTAACCTTAAAAATAAAACACCAGTTATTGTACCAGCAAAAATGGGTTTATATGGGAATTACAAAGAACCACAATCCAGCATAAGGGCTCTAGAGCAGAATCACAGGGAAATCTGCAAGACAAAGCAGAGGTCTGCCGTTTTATAGAGGGGGAAGTTGGGAAGGCTATTGTAAACAAAAAGTCCATTGGAGTAAAGTGGGAGCTGGATGTATAGTGGCTTCTCATTGGCTGAGTTGTGAGTGTCTCTCATTGGCTGGGCTATTGCTGGGGTAGGAGGAAAGCCTTCCCTCTGGCTGCCTGATAGTAAAGTGGTATCTGCAAGGTCCACCTCTTCCTATTGGGTCTGCAATTGCCTAGTGGAAGGGCATGAAAGCTCCTACTGGCCTCCCAAGTCCATTCTAAACTAGGTTTCCTTTTATTAATTTTCACAGAAGAAATTCAAGTTAGAGTAAATTTAGATTATTTGAGGTTCAGCTCAATTTAAAAGATCATATGGAGTCAGAAAAACATTATTCGGGGGGAGGTGTTACAAGATTACTTGAGCTCTGTCTATTAAAATCTCTTTGACAAATCTCACTGACCTTACCTTTTAGGAAGATGTTTTTATTAGAAATTTTTAAAAAATTTTAACTCATGGTAAAATATACATAAAATTTACCAACTTAACTATTTTTTAAAAAGCATTTTTATATAAACTCTACACCTAACATGGGGCTCAGTGCTGTACCAACGGAGTTAGCCAGGCACCCCCCCCCATCTTAACCATTTTAAGTGTACAGTTCAGTAGGGTCAAGTACATTCACACTGTGCAGCCAGTCTCCAGAACTCTTCATTTTGCAAAACTGATATTCCACCAATTAAACAACTCCTCATTCCCTCTTCCCTCAGCCCTGGTAACCACCGTTCTACATTCTTGTCTTTTTGAATTTAACTATGCTAAGTACCTCATAGAGGGAATTCATACAGTACTTGTCTTTTTTGTTACCGGCTAATTAGAAAATTTTTAGATGACTATTTAGAATTAGAAACAGAGAGAGGGCAGCCCGGGTGGCTCAGTGATTTAGCGCCGCCTTCAGCTCAGGGTGTGATCCTGAAGTCCCAGGATAGAGTCCCATATCAGGTCCCTTCATGGAGCCTGCTTCTCCCTCTGCCTGTGTCTCTGCCTCTCTTTCTCTGTATGTCTCTCAAGAATAAATAAATAAATAATCTTTAAAAAGAAGAAAAGAAAAAAAAAGAAACAGAGCCACAACTGACCCAGGTCTTCATCCCTGGTGGACCCAGATATCTCATCTTGTGGTCTCTAACTCAGTGGTTCTCAACTTTGTTTGCACATTTGACTCACCTGGGGAGTTTTTAAAACCACTCCTTCCTGGATCCCTTCCAGACCAATTAAATCAGAATTGCAGGGAGTGGCGGCTAAGGCAAGAATTGTTTAGAAAACATTTCGGGTGTTTCTAATTTGTGACGGAGGGTGGCATCCACTGCTTAATTGAAAAGCTGAAAGGCAGAATAGCATTTGCCAAATCAAAAAATTTAGGGGAGGTGGTCTTTAAGGTCTTTTTAAATTCTGAAATTTTGCAAGATCAACTAGCTTCTTTGAATTTCTCAACAAGTGGTGGCCAGGTTGAGTCTGCTAAACCCAGGAGAGGAGCAGAGGCTCACTGGACTGTGGCTCCCCCTGCAGTCTACTGCTGTCATGACAACTCCACTCCAGAACCTTCCCTCTGGCAGCTGTAACACGCCTCTGTAGGCACCGTTCTCCTGCCACATTCATTCAACAAACCTGATTTTTTTTTTTAACAAACCTGATTTTTTTTTAAATATTTTTTTTTAATCTTTTTTTTTATTTATTTATGATAGTCACAGAGAGAGAGAGAGAGGTAGAGACACAGGCAGAGGGAGAAGCAGGCTCCATGCACCGGGAGCCTGACGTGGGATTCGATCCCGGGTCTCCAGGATCGCGCCCTGGGCCAAAGGCAGGCGCCAAACCGCTGCGCCACCCAGGGATCCCAACAAACCTGATTTTTAAAGATGGCTCACATTTCCTTCTAAAACATTTATCCAAGCTAAGAGATCATTATATTTGTGCTCATTACACCAACTTCTGAAGAATATGAGATTTCCAAATAATTCTAAGATCAAATGAGGGATAGTACAGGAATCTTCAGCTTAATGTAAGAAATACTTCTCTAAAACCAGGGCAGTTTACTAGAGCAAGTTGCCTTGCAAAATAGTGACTCCTTTGACACTTGTACACAGTGAGTACGGTCTGTAAGGGATGCTATGGAGTAAGATTCCTAAATGAGAAAGAATTAGGATGACCTGTGAGGCCCTTCTAACCCCTAAAGTCCACGATTTTAAATCAGACAATAAAAGAATTATCTATGGTAGATTATGGTTTCTGAGCCAAGAAATGGAGCTCTGGGTTCTGATTATCGCAGCTTTCAACCACTCCCCAAGGACTTACTAAATGTAAAATATCCAAAATAAATACAGGTGGGTTTTGTTTTAAAGAAAATTCAACACCATATATAAAAACCTGAACTTTTCAGGAAGATTAACTGGGACATCTTAACTGACTTAACATGACTTTTGTATTATACAAGAATTATTGGTTTTGTAAAATCATGTTTGGATAATAGAGTCACTCTGAGCATCTAGGTATTGATTTATATAGGTCACTCCCTAGCTAAGGTGCTTGGGTGACTGAGGACTTAACTCTAAAGTGTTAACTTTAGATTAGTTAATTCAGTGCAAAACAGCTGCAATTTCTTGAGTGCTATAATGTGTCAAACACCTCAGAACCACCATTTTATCGAATCCTGACATTAGCTTTGGGAGGCAATTTATTACCATCTCATTTTATAGGTGAGGAAACTGGGTCCCAGACAGGTTAAGTAATCTCATGAAGCTAAATTGAAGTCCAGATATTTCTGATTCTTTCCCTTACAAGTTATCTCAATCTGCTGCCCTTTGAACAAACAAATTGCTCACTGACAGCTTGAAGAGCAAATGTGTTTGGGTTAATTTTTGCCCTTAAAAATGTTTTCTATATGGGGGTGCCTGGGTGGCTGATTCAATTAAGTGTCTGGCTCTTGGTTTCAGCTCAAATTGTGATTTCGGGGTCGTGAGATGGAGCCCCAAGTCAGGCAACATGTTCAGTGTCCAGTCCGCTTGAGATTCTTCCCCCTCCCTACCTCTCCCTCTACCCCCACCCTCTCTCTAAAATAAATAAATAAGTAAAATCTTAGGGGAAAAATGTTTTCAATGTGAATTAGTCACTAATGTTTAGAAATTAGATTTCACGTGAAAGCCTGGATATCCTGAGTATCTTGAAAAATCCAAAGGTCTGGCAGCCCAGCCCCAAGGTCCTGAATCAGGACAAGGCCAGATAGGCCCCACCTTAGCAGGGGACTGAGTTCTCCAGGTTGCTGGGGTCCCCGAGCTCTGGGTTGTATGCCCATGAGGAAGCTGAGCGTCAGTTATGATTTATCCCTTTACATTCAGCCCTCCCTACATTTGTAATTATCTACCTGGCACCTGCTGGTGCTGTATTTGCAATACTAATTTGGTGTCTTTCTTCCACTTCCCTTGCCACCATTCCGATCCCAAATATTCTGTGTCTGTCCCAAAGCCAATTTGTGTTGTTCCCATTTTCCAAGAGTAGGGGGGTCTAATGTGTATTCATCTTAAACTTTCTGCACAAAAGTAATTCTGATTTCTCTGTTTTCTCCCATGTTGGGGTGTTTTGCTTCTGTACTTAATAGCTTGTCTTGCTTTCCATTTCTTCCCACTCTTGGGTGCTCCATCTGGTGGTGTGGTGTGGGGGGGAGAGGAATGCCTCCAGGTACTTTATGGGGGTGGAAGTGCCCAGAGACCTGGGACCTGGGGCCTGGTCCGTGGACTTGACATGTGACAGGGAGGAGTGACTGTGACAGCTTCTTTCCAGCCCGGGAAGAATCGGGTCAGTCATGGTTCCCAGGAGGCCCCAGTTGTCTTCCCAGCCCTTTGCCCCATGTAATAGCATGACACCTCCTCAGGTGGTATGATGCAACTTAACTTTATTAGGAAAGCACAGCGGACCCTGGAGCGGCACTCCCCAGGGTTGGGGGAGGCTCTGGGGAGGGGGTGACAGAGATGCCCAGCAACTAGAAGGCACAGCTGCTTTCCACGAAGCGGCGACACTTCATGACCCGCAGGTACGTCTCGGCCTTATGCAGGTCTTTCTTGAAGCAGGAGAGCAGCCCGTAGTTCTTAAGCAGCGCATCGTCACTGCGCAGGTTCGTGTCAAACTTGTCGTAGGTCTGCTTCAGGATCTGCCCAGCCCGGGGACTGCCATCTTCCAGCTCCTGCCGAAGAGAGGAGGGAAGGGACGCCAGGGTGGTTCAGTGGTTGAGCGTCTGCCTTTGGACTCAGGGCGTGACCCTGGAGCCCCAGGCTCGAGTCCCATATCGGGCTCCGTGCAGAGAGCCTGCTTCTCCCTCTGCCTGTGTCTCTGCCTCTCTGGGTCTCTCATGAATAAGTGGATATCCTTAGAGAGAGAGAGAGAGAGAGAGAGAGAGAGAGAGAGAGAGATGGGGCAGAGAGGCCCTGTCCTTGGCCGCTGCTCCTTCCCTGTCCCTCCCCACCAGGCTCAGAGAAGGGCAGGGAGGATTCACCCCTGGGGAACGAGGAGGAAGCTCTCTCAGGGGTCCAGGCTGGACGGCTCACTCCAAAGCACCCCCGGGGTGCTGATTCCCAGCCCACACCATCCCCCACCGGTTGTCTAAGCCAGCGAGGCCACCAGGCCCGGGGCAGGGGACCCACGTGGCCATCCCCACCCGCATCAGGGCTTGGATGCCTTCCTCCAGGTCCTTGAGCTTCTCGTAGACTCGGTCTGAGGTGCCGAACACCAGGCTGTTGGTGAAGACCCTGCTGAGAAACTGCACGGGCCCGAGCCACGACTGGATGAGCAGCAGGGAGAAGCGGAGCAGCTCCACGTCCTGCGGGAGGAGCGGGCGGTGGGCGCCCCAGCCTCGGCCGGGGGGGGGCTCCCGCTGCCACCCTGCCCCCTGCCCCCGGGGAGAGGCTGCCCAGGGCCTGATGCCTGTGGCGAGGCGGAAGGAGGGAGGCCCCCTGGGCGGCCGCCCGGCCTACTCACGGATCGCTGCTGGGCCTCGTCCTTGCCCGTGGGGGCCGGGATGGTCTCCGAGAAGCAGAAGGCGGCCTGCGCGTTCTGGATGGAGTACCTCTGTCCCTCGGGGATGTACGCCCGCTCCTGGGGACAGGCACCCACCCCGGCCCTCATCGCTGCTTCATTCGGAAGCCCCCTCAGTTTGTGCTCCACCCACAGCCTCTTCCCTGGGGGGAACCACCCTGAACTCCTCAGTTACCCCCCCATGTCCCCCCACCCACCCACCAGAGTGAGGGGCAGAAATTCACCCTTTCCTGCCACCCTCACCCCCACCCAGCAAGCACCCCTGCCTGGGGAGCTTACAAACTCTTTGTAGGTGTCGGCAGCCAGTTGGTGCAGGTGCTGGGCCCGGAGCACGGCGTTGGCAAACAGGCTGGACAAGGGCATGGCCGGGAAGGCGCCCACCTCCTGAGGCCAGGGCAGGCAGAGCAAGGCGAAGGCCAGGAGCACAGAGTTCCGAGGGCCTACACACGGAGGGGCACGGACGGCGGGCAAGGGGCCTGGTTCCTGCCAGCCCTGCCCCAACCCCGCAGGGACCCAGAACCTCTAGCACTGGGCCACACGTCTGGCCGTAGCTGTCTATGCTCACACTCAGCAGCCCCAGAGCCCGGGGGTGGCATCCCCAGCCATCTGCAGGCCCCCCTCCACCTCGCCCCTCGGTCCACACCGAGCCCAGGGGGACTTACTTGCAGCCATCGCAGCCGGACTGAGCCGTCCACAGGACCCTGAGCGCTTTGGGGAGCTGGCTGCTGGGATCCTGGAATTGGTTCCTTGCGGGCCCTCTTTATACCCTGGTCCCTTCCCTCTCTCCCTCTCTCCCTCCGCCCCCACCTCTTCTCTCTATACATTTATTCATCGGGCCACTGGCCGCTCTGTGCTGATGGATTATGTAGAGCCTCCTCCCTCTTGTCCTGTTCCCGCTCTTCTTGGGGTCGTGTCCCCCAGGCCTTCCCTCCCTTCTTGCCCCCCCCCCCACTGTCACTAGCCCTGAAGTCTGTGCACATGGGGATCTCAGCTTGAGACATCACCCAATGTATCCTCATTTCCAGGGGGAGCTGGCAGAGAAGAGGAGCCTGAGTCCAGGCTCTGGTGGGATATCACTGTAGGGTTGTCTGCCCAGGTGAGAAGGACCCAACCCGGCCCCCAAAAGATGGGGGGGCATGTCAGGCTGGGTGTGCTGCAAGAGCTGTGCTACCTTTCCTCACCCTCCCATTTCTCTTCCCAGCACAGCTCCCCTCTGTCCACCAGAGAGAATGTGTGTTTGGGGAAAGGGAGCCCAGAACAGCCATGGATTCTGGGGTTTCTGGGCACAGTTCAGTCCCAGATTCCACCTTGGCCGCTGTCACCATCCCCCTGACACTTTACCACCATCCGACCACTTTGTCAGGCCTGAGGCAGCTGGTGCTAGACACTCACCTCCAGAGGACCCCAGCCCCACTCTGTCCCCCCATTTCCCTGACATGGGGGCACACCCAGGTGGCCGGGGCAGAGGACCAAAGCTGGAGGTGTCCCCCCCGCCCGGCTCCTTGAACCCGCTGCAGACCCTGCCACAAGGGCTTCCCCAGCCCAGTCACCGCCAGAGGATCTCAAGATTGGAAGATCCCTTGAGGGCTTGGGTCTCGTCCCCAGCAGTGCAACTCCAGGTACTGCACCCCCAAGAGATGCTCTCTCCAGCCACCCTAGTCTCCTCCCCAGCTTTCTTCTTTTAATATTCATATAGAGCTCATCATTTGAGACAGCATGCCTGTGTATTGTCACATTTGACCCTCACGACCATCTCGTGAAGGCGATATCATTACCACCCCATTTTACAGATCAGCTGACCGAGGCTCAGAGAGTCTTGCTTGTGAGAGCCTCAGCCTCAGCCGACCTCCAGAACCTTGCTCTTCCCATGTTGATCATCCCAAACCCTTTCTCCCAAGCAGACTTGGGCAGGCCACTCAGTTATTTTATCTTCTAAACGCCTCTCTCAACACAGGGATCCTGCCCCTTCTCACTAGGGTCCCTTCGTCTCATTTCATCCTCCCCTAAGAGGCAGATTGTTGTTCTTCATTTCCTAGGTGAGACTGGCCCAGAGACACAGGGTGCGTGTCGGGGGCCAAGTATCTGTGCAAGGTGAGGGCCGAGAAGGCTGGGTTAGGACTGCTGCCCTCCAGCCCCCCAGAGCCCAGGCTTGAGGACACTGCAGCACCTGCAGGTCACCAGCATCAGATCACCCCCAGGGCTAAGAGCAGAAAAGAACACATTCTCTTCCATTTAAACCTCCCACCCCTTGAGTCTAGGAACATTTAGCACTTGCCCTGTGGGGAAATAAACAAATGAACAAGCAGACTCTTCTAGAGGTGGTTGGTTATGGTGTTGGCAACCAATGTTGAAAAGGCACATCCTCGGGGTCCAGGATGCAAGGGCTTATCTTGCCACCTCCCACTTTTAGGATACAGCTTCCTCTTCTCCCATCATTCTAGAGTCATTGCCCAACTGTGCCCTGATTCCTTCTCTGCTGGGGAAGGCCCTGGGACGCACAGAGCTCTTCTCCTGGCTGAGGGAGGGCCAGAGTGGGCTGTCATCAAAGATGTAGGTGTGAGGAAGAGGTTGGGTATCAGGAAGGCTTTCCTGTCTTCCTTGCAGCTCTACCACAGAGGAGGGGCCAGCGGGGAAATAGAGGAAACTCTCCGAGCCCTACATTGCCTTCTGCCTCCCCCACCCCCCTCTTTACACCCTGTGGAGGACTGATGTGGAACCCCTCATGACCAATTTCTAGCTAATGGTGGGGGGACTTGTATGTGTACTGTGGACCAGGTTGAAGCTTCAGGCCTCCCCTGAGTGAGGGTACAGGAGCTCAAGTTGGGGACTGCTCAAGAACCACATTAGGTAGGCACAAGTGAGGTGTGGCTGAGGTTCCCCACAGGCGGGGTACTGCCAAGAGCAGATGGAACCAGCCAGATCAGGGGAGTCTCTCTTCTCACCAAACCCACTTCTGTTGGCCGCAGAACTCAACTGGCTCACAGGACTCTGGAGGTCTGAGGAAACACCTTTACAAAAGGTTGCCATGGAGGCAGCAAGAACCGAAAGGTGCAGAGGTAGATGAAATTTGCCCTCCCATGCTGGGGAGTCACCCATCCTTTCTTGGGGCACCAAAGGGCCAGACCCCAGGCTTCTTCATGTTCAGAGACTGCCCAACCATGGCTTCCGCGTGGTGCCCAATAGGAAGAGGCTGTGATTAACATCTCTCAGGTCAGCCTCAAAAGGCTCAAGATGAATTGCCCATTGTCTTGGAATCCATGCAATTCAATGTTTGAAAGCCTTTCATATTTCCAGATTTGAAATCTAGGGTTTTCTGTACCTCTTGTGAAAGCTCACAGATCTGCTCTTGATCTGAAAGTGGCCTCTGTCAGACTTTAGGATCCTCTCTGAGGTTCAATCTGTGGGGTGGGGCCAATTTATTTTGGAGTCACACTTACCATGGCCTTAGGGACAGCTTCAGAAGGATTGGTGGCGGTTCTTTCCACTCCTTCCACCGTGGTCACTTGAGGCCCACATTTCCACTACTAGCTCTGTGCCGCCTTCCTTGAGGCCAGAAGCTGGGATTGCCCCTGCGATGTAACTCTGCCTCCTCTTTGCTTCCAGCAGGAGTCTGAGCACTGCGTCAATCATGCAGCATTGGGTCAAGGTTTCTAGAGACTATTATGTGGGGATTCCCAAAGGCTTCGTCGGGGAGGTGGAGAAGTGGCCATTTCTGAGTACCAGGCTCTGTTCTGGGTGAGAGGGTGGGGAGGCCCATTTCATACGAGAGCACTCAGAGTTAAAGAAATACAGTAGTTTGTACATAGTCTCTTGGCTTCCAAATGATAGCTGCCCAAGGCCCCCATCTTCCCACCACACGGAGCTCTTGAGAACCCTCATCTGGGAAAGACGGTGGCGCTGCTGGACACAGACAGAACTTTCCTCAGCACAAAGCCAGCAGAGGAGGGTCAAGTCCCTGCTCAGAAGATATTCACTGAAGCTGGAGGACATTGAGCGGAAGGAGCTTCACCCTAGAATGAGGTCCACGGACACCAAGAAAAGCTGCAGAAAAAAACAGCCCAATGTAACCTGATTTAATGAACCAGATCTCATCATCCTTCACATGTGAACTGCACGTTTCAGCGTACATCATGTTTTCACTTCCTTTATCTCACTGGACCCTTGGGTTTGCCAGAGGGCTCAAGCATGGAGGAAGGGCTGTGGAGGGCTTGTGGGGGTGGGGACAGGATAGGGGTAGGCACTCTTGGGGGTTGACAAGGGTGTTTACCCTGGCTGGGGATCTCAGAACCATCAAGAAGTGCATCACAGCCTACATAACTGGACATCTTCAGTAATTTCCACCTTGGGGATTATTCCCCAGGGAGACAGTCCCATTGAAAAAGAAGTAGTGAGTACCCAGGTGTGTCCAGCAGCTGTGGGAAGTCTGGGGTGCTTTCCTGATTGGTGCCCTTCACTGGAAATCACCTCTGACTTCTTTTACCTTATTCTGTGCTTGTTTGTGGACATCTCATGCCCCTTGTGGGAATGTAAACGCTTTGAGGCTGGGTTCATGCCGTTCATGTATTCATTCATTCACTCATTCTCTTCTTCATGCATTAACTGGTTCTAAGAAGTAGTCATTGCTCTTTCTAGATGCCGGATATTGTACCAGGCAGATGGTATGCCCAGATGAACAAAAGACAGGATCCTTTTTCTGTTGGAGCTTATAGTCTATGGGGAAGAGACACAATAGCAAGCAAATAAATACACAATGGCAAAATACATCAGGAAATTTCACACTGTGAAAATTGCCATGAAAGAAACAGTGACAAGGGCAGCCCTGGTGGCGCAGCGGTTTGGCGCCGCCTGCAGCCCGGGGTGTGGTCCTGGAGACCCCGGATCGAGTCCCATATCCCGTTCCCTGCATGGAGCCTGCTTCTCCCTCTGCCTGTGTCTCTGCCTCTCTCTCTCTCTCTCTCTCTCTCTCTCTCTCTCTGTGTGTGTGTCTCTCATGAATAAATAAAATCTTAAAAAAAAAAAAAAGAAACAGTGACGATATAGAGGTGAGAGAAAAGCCTGGGAAGAGTTGGGAATGGCCAGCGGGCACAGTCCTAGAGCCAGGCACTCAACCAGCATGTGCTAGGTGGACGGAGCGGATGCAAGGACAATGCCAAGGAAAGAACTCGAATACCCACGCACCCAGAAATGGTAAGGCAGGCCACTTTGTGTCTCAATGTCCTTATCATAGAATGAATTTGAAATAAGAAGTACCAAAAAAAATCATAAAAAGTACAAGATCTTGCAATGCACGGCACTACATGCATGAAAAAACTTAAATGAAAAAAATAGATGAGGCGGTATGCAGATGCTGATCACAAGGACACACAAATATTCTACACGGACTCTCAGCTTGCAGAACCTGAGCCCTAAGGGGACCTCGTGAGGTGTCTAGCACCGCTCCCCACCCCCCTGCTTTCCTCATGTGAGAAAGTGGTGTTCAGTCAGAAAGAGGTCTTTATTATTTTTTTTCATTGAGAAAAATGCACTGGATCCATCTAAACGTGTTTTAACAAACTGCACATCAGGATTTAATGCTAGTTGATTTTTGTTCTCTGCGAGTCATCTAAGTTTCCAGGTAAAGGCTTTGGAGTTGGAGGGGCAGCTGAGGTATCCCAGTAGATGGTTTGTTGTTGCTTTGTTTTGGTTTGCAACTGAGTCACCGGCAGATTCTGAGGGTGCCTAACCAGCAGCACCGTGGGAAGCCAGACTCACCTGGGAACTTCGCCGATGTGGGCCCTGAATCCAGCCACTGGGGTCAGCTAAAGAGCAGAATAATCGAGACAGAATCTGGAGCTCCCAAACCCCGTGTTCCAAGATGGCCTTTGGGACCCTTCACAGAAGACCCCACAACTGCTAAGGGACAAACGCTATATACCAGTGACACCCACACAGTGGCAGCTTTTCACATTTTGTTTTGTTTTTCTCTCACCTCTGATTCTGCTGGAAAAACACCCAAACCCTCAGGTCAGACACCCCAGGCCTGCCAGCACCTGCATCGAAAGGGCCGGAAGTCAAGCTAGAACGAAGAAGGAACCAGCCTATGCTTACACCATGGCCCCGAGGGACTAGGTTGGATTCCCCCAGTGGGTAGTGGGGCATGTGCCCAGCAAGGCACCTCAGGGCTGTGTTCTGGGGAGGGGGAGGCCTGGGGGAGCTGACCAGAGCCGGACGCCTCGAAGGATGGCCCTGTGGCATGAGCCCCAGCCCGGCTGGGTCCTGTGTCCCTGTGTGTTGGGACTTGTAAACAATGGGAAATGTTTGAAGATGGCCAAAGTTGTCACAGGATTTTCTCCTCCCTCGTTTTCCTCCTTTTTTCTCCCTCCTCAATATCTCAGGGCCACAAAGTCCTTCAAGAGAGACAGTTGTGATGTACTGGGAAGAATGCTGGGTTTGGCGTCAGAAGGCGTCCCATACCCCAGAATATATGGTTTTGGCCCATTGCTATCTCCCTGAGCCTTGATTTGCTCATTCATCAAATGGGGATGATGCCGCCCCCTTCCAGGATTATGCTGGGGCTTATGCAAGATGATGTACGTGAATCTGGAGCTGTTCCATACAATATCATAGGCATTAAAGAGGTGCTCAATATGTAAATATTTTGGGGATCCCAATAAAAGATTTTAGTTCATGTTCTGTATCCTAATTGTGGTGGTGGTGGGGTGATATAAATCTGCACATGTGCTAAAATTCATCAGCCTGTATACTGAAAGAAAACAAACTCAATTTTACTATATGACGATTGAAAAAACAACAACAACACAGCATCTGGTTCAACTCCCTTCCCTCAGACAAGGTTTTATGATTCCCATTCTACAGATTAAGCAACTGAGGCCTGAGGCTTTCATCATCCCCACCAGCATCACACAGCTTCATCTGCCCTGCTTCAGTCAGTTCTGGGGGCCGGGGACCCTTAAGACAGACATGATGATACCCATAGCATAAGCCCCTAAAACAGAAAAACAGAAACAAAAGCAAAACCAAACCAAAAAAAAAAAGACAAACAGACCAGGGAGGACTTCTACATCATAACCATGAAGGCAAATACCTTTTAGGGGTGTCTGGGGACAGAGACAGGGGTTCAGTTCAAATAATTCTCTGCCAATAGCACTGTAAAGCATTAGAAAAACTCAGTGATTCAAAAGTATTAATCTTTTGGTAAAGTCAGGACCTCCCTAGACTCAGGGCAGCCCCAGGCCGGGGGAGACCCTACTGGGGGGTGGGGTGGGGGGGAGTAGTGAAGACACCCTCCCGCCCCCAGCCCTGCTAGCTAGGGTCCCTGGTGGAGACAGGAGGACAGAATTAGCGTCACTATGCAAAGCAGTAGAGGAAAGGCTCCAGCTCAGTGGAGGCAGATGCCTAAACAAACCAGTTTCCTCAGGCAGCCCAGCCCGGAGGCCACGGAGGGAGCAGACCCTGCCTGGCCTGCCCAGCATGACTCCGAGTGAGCACCCCTGAACGATGCACAAATTGTTTGAAACTCCAGGCGCTGGGACCTTAGCCACCCACCCCACCCCACCTGGAGCTCTGGGGGAGAGCTGGTAAAAACTAGTGACCACTCTTACTGGTTCCCGCATGCCAGGCTTGGCTCTCCCTGGAGGCAGGGATTTCTCTGGCCTGAATCCAGAGCATGAGTGGCAAAGAGGTTTGCAGTGTCCTCCCCAAGGTCAACAGGAAGCAGAGCAAGGCCTGGCCTTGCACATAGAGGTTAATTGCACTTAAGCTCCTAGCTGGGAACTGTTTCCAGTCACTTCTGCAGCAGGCAGGTCAGGGCTTGAATTTGTAGGACCCTAGGGATCATTTTGTGGGGACCTTGGGACCCTAGGAGGACCTCTGATGTGGTTCTGGAAAAGGCTGAAGGAATCACCTCAGGACCCCCAAACTTCACCACTGCAAAGCCTCCCTCTTTGGGAATCTCTTGCATGGCTCTGGGTCGTCGGACTTAAAAACAAAATTTCCAGGCTTGGTGGGGGGTAGTTTAACTGGAGAATGAGGCCAGCATGGGCAACAAGGCAGTCATGGGGCTTGGGCAGGCCTGGGGATATTTGGAAGGGCTTCTCGCAGGTGGATGGCCATCAAGGACAGTAGGATTGGGATGGGTAGGCTGAGGCCCCTCAAGGCTGAGACCCTCACTCTACAGAGCAGGACCCAGGTGCTCATGTGGGCCAAAGGGGATGCAGGATGAAGGCATCCTTGCCAAGAAGGGCTATCAGCCTTTCTCCAGTCTGGGCCCAGCTAGGTGAGGTGCCCACCCAGGAGGGTGTAACTGCAGATCCCAGCCAGGCTTTCAGACAGAAGCCCTAGTGAGCACAGGCGAGGTCTGTGAGACCCATAGCAGTCATCCTCTCCCACACACTACGGGCCCAGAGAACCAAACGGTTGTGCCCAGAGAGATAGTCTAACCCACCCCATGCCATAGATGTCACAAGCCTGTGTGTGGTTTCTCGACACACTGTTTATTCCATGAGAGGAAAGGATCAAGGCTAGGAGCCCCCCGGGGGTGGGAGAGTGTCGGACAGGATCGGAGATGGTGGGAGAGGGTCGGAGAAGGTAGGAGAGAGTAGGAGAAGGTGGGAGAGAGTGGGAGAGGCATGTGGCCCTCCGCAGCCCATCTATGGCCAAGTGGGACGGACCACGGCTTCCCATGGGCTCTGCAGGAAGCCAGTCTGCTATGAGTCCATTTGCAGGTTCCAGAAAAGCCTCTGCCTTCCCGTCCAGAACGTGGGCTGGATCCCCACATAGCACCCCCAGAAGGCTGGGTCCAGTCTATCCCCAGAGAACTCCCCACTCCAAATCACTGCCCTGCCCTGCGGCCCTTCCACTTTAGTCTCTTTGGCAAGAGCTGGGACCAGGGGCCGGAGGGGCAGGCAGATCTGGTGGGCCAGCTTCAGAGGCTGACCGAGGCCCAGGGAAGAGGGGATGAGCTGGAAGGCGGAGGTGGCTCTCACACAGTCAGTGAGGGCCCAGCTGGCTGGGTCAAGGGGCATGGGGAAGCCAGCCCCTCACTCTTGACCTGGGTGCTCCCCCACTGACCACTTCACTTCTCCTGTCCGCAGAGTCACTATGTCCTCGTAGGTGGCCGTCTGGTCAATGTTCAGGCCCTGGAGACATGGAATGGGGCTTAGGCCTTGGGCACTCTCTGACCACACCAGCGGAGGGTGCTGCCAGCCACCCCACGGCCCTCAGCGCTGTGGGGTCCTGCTCTTCCTTACCTCATAGGTGTGATCTTCATCCATCCCAGCCTTGCTGTCATCCTGGTGGGGCAGGGGATGGAGAGCAGAGTGTTAGCTTCCCCCACCCCATCCACTGCTGGGCCAGGCTGGGGAGGTCCACGCAGCCTGAGGGGTTGGGAGCGAGGGGCCAGGGGTCAGGGGTCAGGGGTCAAGGGGTGAGGTGTAGTCTGGTGCACTCTGCCAGAACAACTGAATGGATGAAGGAGAGATCGTGGGTGAGTCAATGGGCAAGCTCTGGGGCTGGGGGGATGAAGGTCTTGCCTGTGTCTGGCCCACCCCGTGGCCGCCTCCCTGGCCCCCCCAGTCAGTCACCTTGTCCAACAGCAGGAAGATGGGCACGATGATGAAGAGGATGATGAGCAGGGTCTGGATCATGATGATGCCATCTTTTAGTGTGTTCCTCCGCTTCAGCTGGGCCAAGGTGCTGAACCCTGTGGGGGGCAGGGGGGTGTGAGGCCCGGGGCCCCTGTTGGGGCCTGGCCCCCTCAGGACCTCCTCAGTGGCTCTCCTGGGTGTTCTATGGCCACAGCCACCCTCACGATGTGGTCCACCCTACTGGCGGCAGGCTGGGCTGCGGGCCGCCCGCCTTCTTGCGGGCTCCCCGGCTGTCGCCCCCTCTCCCTGCTGGCGGGAGGCCAGGCCCCAAACACACCCATGACTCGCAGCTCGGTGCCACAGCCTTTGCTGAAGGACTCCTTGGAGCACTTCTGCTGGCAGAAGTAGATGCCGTTGTCCGAGAACTGGATGCCCTGGATGGTGAGGGTGGCGACCGAGTGGTTCTGGCTCTGGAGGATGCGGTTCTCTCTCGGCAGGGGCTTGGACTCCAAGTCCATCTCCCGCTTCCACAACCAGCTCACGGCTCCCACCTCCTTCGTGTGGCACCTGATTTCCACCACGGCGCCCCTTTTCCGGGCTATGAAGCGCGGGCTCTGCCAGATTCCAGAACAAGTGCTTCCTGCGGGCGCCAAGGCCGGGATCAGCAGCCCGCGGAGCACCTTCCCGCCCCCCACCCGCCGACCCTTGTGGCGCTGCCTTGGCTCAGCCCCTCGCCTCTGCCTGCTCTTGGGCGTGGGACAGTCGTGTGTGGGGCTGAGCCACAGGAGTGGCCACAGGCCAACCACTGCGCCCCGCCCCTTCCTGACGGCCCCCACCCCAACATCTGATTTTCCTTCAGGAGGGCTCTGGAACCTTCCTATGCCTTTCCATGCCCATAAACAGCCTGATCTGGCCACACCCACTGGGACCCAGAAGTCCCCCTCCTGCATCATTCCCAGTGAGGGGCCCCTAGGAATCTTTGAGGCCCTGAGGCCTGTCAGAGCCCCTAAGGCTACAGGCCCCTTCCTGGGCTGAGCCCCACTCCCCAGCTGGACAGACCCAGCCTGAGTCCTCAGCGGGATCCCATCGGGCTTCCCCCTCCCTCCCTGGGTTTAGCCACATGCCTCAATCGTGGGTCCTGGAGCACTTAGATCTCATGAGGGTGACAGCTGGCAGGAGGGGTGCCAGGGGCCCCCCAGAGCCAGGCCTCTGAGATGGAAACCCTAAGATGACCTGGAGATGGGAGCCCTGGCTGGGGAGATCTAGGGGCACCAGGGCACAGGGGCAGCCATGGGACAGCCCCTGGAACCGTGACTAGCCCTGGACACACACACACTTGCCCCCAGAAGGGGCAGAGGAAGTCGCTGACCTTTGGGATCCTGGTGCCTGTCTTCTGTTTTGGCTGCTGGCACACCTGCTGGGTGGGAGGAAGTAGGCGGGCCTGGGTCAGGGCTCTCCGCGCTGGAAACTGGCTGCCCCACCCCTGCAGCCCCCTGCATTCCTAGACCTACTTCCTCCTCCCCGGACAGCAGCTTCAGGACGCCTCAGCCCTCCCTGGCACCGCTCTGGAGAGACGGGAGTGGGCAAGGGTCGCCAGAGGTGCACCTCCCAGCCCCCCCTTCTGCCTTGGCCTGTTCGGATGGCCTTGAGCAGGCTCCTGGTTGAGACAGGGGGAAAGTCACAGCGGGAGGGCTGTCCTGTCTTCCAGACCAGGGGACCATTTCTGGAACGTGCCGCATCCCAGGGCCCGGTTGGGGGCAGCCTCTCTCCTGTGTCCCCTCCCCGCCACAATGCCCTCAGGGGGCCCAGGGAAAATCCTACTCCTCTCCTTCTCCCGTGTCATAGGCACGACCCCTCACACCCAGCTCAGTCTGGCACTCTCCAGGCCACAGACCCCTGAGCCCATCAGCCTGGGTGATACCCACAGACCCAGGCCCCAGGGGTGTCAAGGGAGACAGGAGGCAGAAAGCGTGAGAGACAGAAGGGGGAGGTGGAGAGAGCAGGACACAAAGTGGCGGAAACAGCCAAACAGCCCATGACAGAGAGTGAAACCAGGAGGCCTCATTTTGGGGGTGCTGTACCTGAAAGCAACAGAAGCAACACCACCAGCCAGTTGTGGGGCACGGGAGACAGCACCAGCCCGGCCATGGTCACCTCTCCGCTCCGTCTCGGACCCAGGCTGGTGATGAGGACCGAGGCTCCAGGGGGGAAACGTGTAACTGCCTGGGCTGCAGCCTGTCCCCTCCCTGCCTCTTCCCCACCAGGCCCCTTCCTGCCATGCAAATTGGGACCCAGGGGAGGCACCAGCTCTCCGGGGACCCTGGGGGAGGGCGGGCTCTCTTGTCAGCTGTGCTGCTAAAGCATCGCAGCTGGGGTCTCTAGTGGATGACCCCGGGAGGCAAGGGCCGCTGAGTCTTCTGAGGGCAGTTGTGTCCCTCCCTGTGGCCTCACCCCACCAGTGGTCGTGTCCCGGGGTCCCCCAGCCTTCCATTGCACAGTCTGCATTCCCTGGCACTTAGCTGGATACACACGGGTCCCATGGGTGAATGTGAGCACAGCTCCTGGGCGCTACAGGAAGGGAGGCACCAAGGAAGGATGGTGCGAGGGGGCTGGGGTAGCAATGGGCCGAGGCCGGGCACCCGGAGGGGACCAGCATGCAGCCTCTGGGCTGGAGTGCAGGCAGCCATGTCAGGGCACATGAAGACCTGACCCTGTGGAGGAAGGGAGCCACAGAGGTTCTTGAGCAAGAGCCTGGTATGGTAGCCACTTGGGAGAAGACATGGTCCAGACCCAGGCAAGAGGTCTCCCTCCCTCACTTGGTGAGAGAATCTGCTAGAAGCTGTCAAAGGGGGTGGTCTTATGTAGAGATAGCTTAGAAAAAAAACCCACCACTCAGCAATCAGGGGACTCCCAGGGAGTTGTCCCTAGCTCCCAGTTCTTGGGGGGGGGGGCGGGCAGGAGGCTAGTGTGGGGGAATCTCCAGGTTCCGACACTCAAAGGCTCTCTGGCTTTATCTAGCCCATCAGTAGAGTTGGATGGAACCGTAGTGTTCAGACGTTTGTCTGAGTTTCTGTCTTTGTGCCCTTGTCCCTGGGTCAGACACAAATTTTGCACCTTGGGGGCTGGTGCTGCCCTTGTGCAGAGCACAACTTGCACGGCCACACATGGCAGGTTTGTATACCTCAGCCCCGCAGCTGAGTCCACTCTGAGTTTTATGTCTCTCCCTTTTTCTCTCTTGTCCCTTGATCCCTCTCTTCTTTCAACTCCCAGGAGGGGAAGAAAGATGCTGAATCCTATATACGTCTCCTGCCTACATCTCCTTCTCCTCACCACCCTCCATTTTTCAAACAGCCTGTGTTACCAGTGGGACTGTGGGTTTAGAGAGATGTGGACCTGCTCCATGCCAGGATTGGCAATGAGAAAGGGAGGGGTCTGGGTAGACCCCCTCAGTCCTGGTGGACATGTGCCTCATCTGGTTGGGTTGGGGCCACCGCCAAGGAGTGTGGGCCAGGACCAGAGCTATAAAAAACAGGGACGGAAGGGTTAAGGTTTCATCCAAGGAACAGCTCATTCCTGGCAGTCCCAGATGTTCTTGCTGTTTCCAGATGTTCCAAACGGAAAAAAAAAAAAAAAAAAAACAACAAAAAAAAAACCATTTCTCTGAAAAGGTGTCAGATGTTCAGTTCACAGAACAAACAACCCAGGAATATAAACATCACCTGAGGTCAGCCTGGGGACCATAGGCCTCCCGTGCTGGTGAGGGTGGTCGGAGACTCCCCAGAGAAATGGGGGGGGGGATCCAGGGGTTTCTTCCTTTAGCAAAGTATCTCCTCACAATGGAGGCCTTGGTTAGCTTTGGAGCTAGTGGCCCCCCAAAGTTGGGAAGATAAATGGGGAAGGCTTGGGGCACACACACGCATGTGTGTGTTTGTGTGTACGCGTGTGTATGCTCACATGGGTGTGTTGCCTGGGCTGTGGGGTGTAGGCCCTGCTCAGGAGCTCGTCCTGTGGCCCAGGGGGCTTGAGGGGGTTGGGGGGCAGATGACATCTTCTGAACACATCCACACATCCACATCCCCTGGGGGCAGGGATGCAGATGTGTCCTTTGGACTTCATTCCCATTCATGCCTGGCAGGGATCCATTTTCAGGAGTGGGTGGAAGCAGTGGGGCCCTACTGCCTGCAGGGTTATTTGTCACAGTTGGGGCTGTGCTGTTCCCTCTCCGGTGACAACAGTACAGAGCTCTGTCTGAGGTTATGACGCCTTTACTTTCCTGGAACAGGAGGCCCCGTGAGCCCACTCCTGCCTCTGCCCCGGCTGCCCTGGGCAGTACACCCTGACATTTGGCAGCCCCCGCCTCACCTTTCCAGGAAGGCAGCATGGAGACTAGGGGTGGGGGTGTAGGGAGAGGGGCAAGGGGTTGAGGAGTTTGAGGAAGCAAGAGGTCAGGGACATCCCGCAACCCCAGGAGGGGTAGGAAAGGGCAGGGCCTCAGTCTGGAAGGAGGGGCTCGGATGCCCCCCCCCATCAGCTCTTCTGGCTCCACGGGGCCTGCTGTCCTGGGGCAGAGGCCCACTGGCTAAGAAGGACAGAGGCTTGCTTCCGGGCCCTGCCGTGTGCCAGCCAGAAAGCCGCCCCAAGTTACCTGGTGGTTCTCAGCGGGGAGTGGTCCCACCCCGGGAGCATCTGGAAAGCCACTGGGGTCATTTCAATGGTCACAGCGGCCAACGAACACCACTGACCTTCCTGGACCAGGGGTGCTGAATCCCCGGCAGTGGGAGGGACAGCGTCTCACAGAGCAGGGTCCCCGCTCCAAATGCCAATAGCACCCCAGTGAAGCAACACCCGTTTTTAACTTCTAGAGATCAAGTTCCTCATTTATGTAAAATAGAAATAATCATAATAATCCGTTCTTCACAGGGCAGTCCCAGGCATGGGAGGGGATCCGGTATCTCAGTGTTAGGTGAGGAGTCTGGGAGCATAGCTCTCCCTCAGGAAGGTGGGGAGTAGTGCTGATAGTGAGCAGGGGGGATGATTTTGAAAGGTTGGCTTATGTTTTTCATCTAATATTTTGCCTTTTTTCCTCCACTATTCAAGGCTCAGGGGAAGGGCAGGCCAGGGCATCTTGCAAGCCCTCCCGTCCTTGGAGCCCGAGAGAGCCCCAGGTGTGGTCTGGAGAAACTTACAGTAAGAAGGAGCCCCACCCCCACCCCAGGGAGGGAGGTCAGCATCCCATCGGGGGGCTCAGAACCCTGCAGGGATGCTGCTGGACCCCTCTCTGCACATATAGAGAACAGCAAGGAGCCAAAGGGCCTGTCAGGGTGGCTTCTGGTGCCCCACCCCCTGCACAGGTGTCATGTAACTTCATGACCCAGGAAAAAAGAGGGTATAGAAATCTTGTAAAGGACTGTTTACTAGTTTGGACAAACACAGCCCTTGAGAAGTCAAGTTGGGAAAACAAAATTATATACAAAAATTATATTTCAGGGGCACCTGGGTGGCTTAGTTGTTAAGCATCTGCCTTTGGCTCAGGTCATGATCCTGCTATCGAGTCCCACATCAAGCCTGCTGTGGAGATCCTGCTTCTCCCTCTGCCTATGTCTCTGCCTCTCTGAGTCTCTCGTGAATAAATAAAATCTTTTTTAAAAAATTGTATTTCACCCACCAGGATTGTGGACTTAGCTCACTACATCATGTTACTCATTGTCCCATGGACCCTGGACTTTCTGAGGTCAGAGGTCAGAGGTAGGGTCCTGGGGGGTAGGGGCGGACAATATCTGTGAGGAGAGGGAAGGGCCACACCATGTGTCTCTCAGGCACCTCAGGGTCCCTGGGGAGTGCAGAGAAGTGAGGGGGGCTTCCAGAGATGAGAGGCTGGGGCCATTGGGTCACAAAACCATTTCCTGGGCAACAACATGGGTGAGGGGAGAGAGTGTAGTGCTGTGTCTTAGGGGACCGAGCCACAACCCCTGACCTCACCTGGCCTCTTGGATTCTAGCTAAGAGGCTGGAGTTGTAACCTTAAAAATAAAACTGCCAGTTATCTTACTGGCAAAAGACGGGATTATGCAGGAGGAGCAGAGAATTGCAGCGCCAAACAAGCAAGCTAGGCAAAACTACAGGCACCACCACAAAGGCAAGTCTCTGCTCCTTTATAGAGGAAAGGGGGATGTGGGAAGGCTGTTGTAAACAAAAAACCCATTGGAATAAAGTAGGAGCTGGATGTATGGTGGTTTCTCATTGGCTGGGCTGTTGCCAGGGCAGGAGAAAAACCTTTCCCCTCCCAGCCAGATAGTAAAGCCACCCACATGGGCAAAGTCCATCTCCTCCCATTGGGTTGGGCAATTGATGAGGAGTGGTGGTGCCTGAGAGCTCCTGTTGCTGAACCTCCTGACTCCAATTTAATGAAGTTTGCCTTTATTAATTTTCAAAGCCCAAGCCTCTGGAGGAGAGAGCCAGACTGGGCCAGAGAGGGAGCTGGGGCTCCCCTTGTCTTGCCCTCTATCCACCCTGAGCCTCCCCAAGTCTTCTCCATCTGGCTCCAATCCCCACCAGCCCTTCTTGCTTCTTGCAGCCTTCAGGCCCTATCAGCATCCACACGCAGAGGTGTGGAAGGAAGAAGCCTGCCAGTGAGAGGGACCAGGGAGAGGTTTATTATAAGAACTGTAAAAAGAAGCCTGCCTGCCAGACTGGTTAGGGTCTGTTCCCACCCAGACAGAGTGGGAGTGGGTGTGGGTGTGCAGGGGAGGGGGCCACAGGCTGGGGAGGCTCTACAGGCTGTATGCAGTCCATTGGTGAGTATCCAGTCCAACAGATGCTGAGGCTCTTGGGGCCACCCCAGTCTAGGGCCCCAGTTTGAGGGGAGGACAGTGGACAGGGTGCTGGACAGGGAGGAGGCTGTCCTCTCTGGGATGCATCTTCTGATGAAAGACAGAACAGTTGCAGGAAGGTAGAAGGGGTGAGGCCTCCTTCCATAGAGGCCACAGGCAAGAGACAGGGGGCAGGGCTGGGCCAGTGGGTGTGATGAAGAGAATGGGAGCAAGGAGAATGGGTGGCCAGGAGGCCAGAGAGCAGGTCAGACAGAAAGGAAGGCTCTGGCCTGTGGGCACACGCACCCACACCCACATTGTTTTGGAGGTTTTGCTGCTTCCTGAGTTTTAATCAAACTATTCACAAGAAACAAGAAGAAAGAGAAGAGG